CGTCGAGTAGTACGGACCAGGGCCCGAAGATCGAGGAGGTTGACTAAGTTAGCCGATGGTGTTAGAGTAGGTTAAGCTAAGCGCCGATTGCCGACGGCAAGATGCGTAACTAATATATCGTTTTGCGTAAGTTCCAGTGTTGTTGATAACAGAGACGGTTGTTGTATTGGCGATCCGTCGAATTCGTCGTCGTAAACTATCTAGCACAACCGACGGCGTCATTTAAGGCCAGATGCAATGCAAGCTTGTTTGACTTTGTCAGTATTCCTGACAATTTGCAATGGCTGACCAAGTGCAGCACAGAATGCTGTGCACTCAGTGCAAGTTAACTCTCCTACAACGTACTTGTATCATGAGAATTGGACGACAGAAACTTGAGTGCGTAACACAGCCCTCGGTTAAGATCCGCTGAAAACCAATACTACATAGTAGTACATGTCAACGAACGTTGAGCGAAAATGTTCCGTTGCAAACCAAGGATTCCGGTTTTGTTGTAAGTTAACCTCCTCGCTTGAGCAAACGTACTACCGGTAGATTCGTCATGGCATGTTCTTGAAGCGATGACTTAAAAACTGAGCTCGAATGGAAGCTTTCCTACTACAGATACAACTCGTACGAGCATTCCTTCATATTAACTTACGATTTGACTTGAATAACATGAAATCAGCAACCTCTCTCTTAGACATACATCACGGGGCGAGAGAGACTCGACTCCTGGGCACGAGGAATACGCTGTGGTAGGTGGGGAGGCGGCAGCAACGGGGGCGTCATTGTGCTGTCACGTGGTGGTAGCGGGTTTTTGTGGACGTTCATACTTGGCAGCACAGGGCGACTGACGCCGTTGATAGGGGAGGGAGCGAAGCCAAGGCGACTCGACGGCGAGAATTGCGACGGCGTGGCTGCCATCGCCACGCCATCCTGAATCCCTGCCAGGAGAACTGCAATTGGCCGCTGCATGGCTGCAGTAGGTGTGTTTGATCCGTAGTCGTAGCCTGGGTGCTCCAGATGATAGTGACTTGCAGTGGAGGCGCCCGATGACACTGTGGGCACTGGCGGCGGCCAGTCCTCGATGATGTGCCGTATCGACTGCTCGTTACGCGACTGAAAGCGCACCATCAGCTTGCGCGCATTCTCAACTGAGATGTCGGGGAGTTTGCGCAGCGCAGCAGTCTCCACGAGCTTCATGAGCTCGTCGAACGTCATGAGCACGCCCAGCTCGGCATGAGCCACCACAACGCGCATGATCCCGGCCTCGTCACTCGGGTGGAAGTAGGTATTGTTGCCCTTGTTCGCCTGTCCGCCCTGGGCACGCTTCTTCACGCGCCGATGGAGAGCTGCAAAGTGTACACCGTAGATCTTGGCAGCGGCGCGCAGACTCATGCCCTGCTGTTCTACAGCGGCGATGGCCTTCTCCCACGTCTCGGCCGGCACTGTGTGACTCAGCTTGTAGCCGCGCTTCTCGCTCGACGTCGGTGCGTGTTCCTGTGGTGACTCGTACTTGTTACTGTTGTTATTGACAGAGGGAGGCGCCAAGTCTGCACTCCCATTGCCACTCGAGCTGCCGCTTGTGGTTCCGTTTTCGCTGCCACTGCTGGAGTTGGAGCTAAGCTCTTCCATGTCACCTGTTTGATCGCGCTGCTGCCATTCAGTGGCTGCGCGGTGGTCGTTCACGATCGCGGAGCGGCGCTGCTGTTGCTGCTGACGACGATTGTGGTACAATGGCGAGCCGTTATCGCTCATCGGCCGCTTATTGGGTCGCACACGGGCACTGGACTCATGTCCGGCGACGCAGCGGCTATCGTGGTCTCTCTCCCCGTCGCTGCTGCTCGCGCTACTGGTCGTTACCCGCGCAATGCTGCCGCTGCGGCTACGGCGTCCCACGTCCAGGCGACCAGGCAGCCCGAGCGTGAAGCTTCCGCCGAAGCCGTGCACGCGTTTGAACTCGACGATCCAGAGCGCGGGTGGAAAGTCGATCGGGATGTCCACGGCGCCTCCTCGACTTGCTACTGCACGCACTACAATGCGAACGTCGTCCGACGTGATGCGTTGTTCGTGCTGGAACCGCTCGTGTAGTACGCGAAGCACCTCCTGCTCGTCCGCTTCACTCAGGAAGCGGCGCACCAGCGAGGATGGTGAGGCGCTGCGGCTCCGAACACGGTTCAGCGCGGTTGGCGCCGCCCAATGATCGTTTCGAGGCATTTAAGGTCGGTTCGGTCGGATTCTTCTGCCGAAATGGTAGGCTGCAGATTCGAAAATGAGAATGATTTGCGAGAACAAAGTAGGCCAAAGAGAGAGCTTACTAAACTCAAGTTATTTTTGTGCTTCTCATTTCTTTCCAAAATACTCAGACTTCGACGAACATCTTTTGCTTTCGTTGCTTGACTTGCTATTACTGGCTGCGACAGTCCAGTCCCAGTTCAGTAAGTAGCGAAGTACTGACGCAGACACAAAATGCGACTGCTATATATCAAACGCTCAAACACCGTTTCTTGTGCTGCGCGACACCGAACGTCGGCGCCGAACAGGGAGTGTTCCGGGGGCCTCTAGTCGACAGCAGAACGCTTAAACAGTGCAGCGAAAGCATGTACATGTTACCTGTCGCCCCACTGGGTTTGTGCTGGTCGACAACTACAATGGATCCGACACATGTCGCGCCCCACAACTGGGTTTGTGCTGGTCGTCAAATACAAATGGATCCGACACTATGGATTACAGAAAAAGACGGTCGCCAGAGATCTTTCTCGATATTTTCGAAATTAAGAATTGGAAATATAGAAAATGTCACTTCGCAAGGACCAAATGTCGGAAATGTCCAGTCTGTATCGGTCGCACTTGTTCGATGCAATTCTTCGTGCCCGGCGTGCGCTGTTTCTCAACGCAGTCAGACGCTGTTTCATGTTGCTGCAAGCATCATCTCTCCCTGCGATACAGAGATTGAGAGTCTCCGGTTGCCAGTGAACACCCTCCCGCAAATTGATGATGCATGCATGCATGGTGCTATCTCTTTTGTTTCGGCGAAGTAATAGCAACGCACACCGTGTAGTACATGTGTGCTTTTGCACGGACGTGTATCATCCTATAGGTCTTCGCTGGTTGTGCCTTGTAGAATGCTTGTGCAATCACTACACCAGTTTCCAACGAGGCGTGTTAGCGATTTCGTCCGCCGCCACGACATCAGCAGGCGGTTGAATATTTGGCGCAAGCACTGTTCAAGTCATGGCGCAAAGGGGCAGCAGAAAACCTTTTTGTCCCCGTGTGCTCTCCTCAAGTCTTGTTGCCAAGTCCTCACTCCTCGCCTGAAATGGCTACACTTAGTAGCATCTCAGCGGAAAAAATCCGTTTCATGCGTGCAGCGCTTCGATTGGCTGAATGAGTGGCCGCTTCGAGAACGTTCGACGAGGCTTACAACCACCAAGACAAAATGCTCCGTCCGAAAACACCTTGCTGCCGATTGGTCAAAAACAAGAAATCATGTCAGTTTTGGGCCAATTCGCGTCCATCACGACCAGATTCGTCGGCATAGGAATTGTCTCGAACGTGGCTGCTGCCATTACGGATGGCAGCGCTTTGCCAGGGTTAAGACGGAGGTCATTTCTGCGTTTACAGTCATTAACGCCCAGCACCCCCTCCAGGCGATCTTTGCGTAGCCTCTTCAGTTTCTTGACCTCATTTCCGAATTTCCCTTGTGGAGAAGAAGACAAAACACCCAAGCTCTTTAATCAAGCAACAAGAACAAGATGGCCCAGTCTGTGTCTGGATACTCGGTCGGCATTGACCTTGGCACGACCTACTCGTGCGTCGGCGTGTGGCAGAACGACCGCGTGGAGATCATCGCCAACGACCAGGGTAACCGTACCACCCCGTCGTACGTCGCCTTCACGGACACCGAGCGTCTGATCGGTGATGCCGCCAAGAACCAGGTCGCCATGAACGCGCACAACACGGTGTTCGACGCCAAGCGTCTGATCGGCCGCAAGTTCTCGGACCCGATCGTGCAGGCCGACATCAAGCACTGGCCGTTCAAGATCACGTCCGGCCCCGGCGACAAGCCGCAGATCACGGTGCAGTTCAAGGGTGAGAGCAAGACGTTCCAGCCCGAAGAGATCTCGTCTATGGTGCTGATCAAGATGCGCGAGGTGGCCGAGGCCTTCATCGGCAAGGAGGTCAAGAACGCCGTCATCACGGTGCCGGCCTACTTCAACGACTCACAGCGCCAGGCCACCAAGGACGCCGGTGCCATCGCCGGTCTCAACGTGCTGCGTATTATTAACGAGCCGACGGCCGCCGCCATCGCGTACGGTCTGGACAAGAAGGGTGGCGAGCGCAACGTGTTGATCTTCGACCTGGGCGGCGGCACCTTCGACGTGTCGTTGCTGAGCATTGAGGAAGGCATCTTCGAGGTGAAAGCCACAGCGGGTGACACGCACCTGGGTGGTGAGGACTTCGACAACCGCCTCGTCGACCACTTCACGCAGGAGTTCAAGCGCAAGCACCGCAAGGACATCACTGAGAACCAGCGTGCTCTGCGTCGTCTGAGAACGGCCTGCGAGCGCGCTAAGCGTACGCTGTCTTCGTCGGCTCAGGCTTATATTGAGATTGACTCGCTGTTCGATGGTATTGACTTCAACTCGACCATCACGCGTGCTCGTTTCGAAGACATGTGCGGTGACTACTTCCGCAAGACCATGGAGCCTGTCGAGAAGGTTCTGCGTGACGCCAAGCTGTCGAAGAGCCAGGTGCACGAGGTTGTGCTGGTTGGTGGCTCTACCCGTATCCCCAAGGTTCAGCAGCTGCTGTCGGACTTCTTCAACGGCAAGGAGCCCAACAAGTCCATCAACCCTGATGAGGCTGTTGCCTACGGTGCCACCGTCCAGGCTGCCATTCTGAGCGGTAACGACTCGTCGGAGAAGCTGCAGGACCTGCTGCTTCTGGATGTGACGCCGCTGTCTCTGGGTCTGGAGACTGCCGGTGGTGTCATGACCACTCTGATTGCGCGTAACACGACGGTGCCGACCAAGAAGTCGCAGACTTTCTCGACGTACGCCGACAACCAGCCTGGTGTGCTCATTCAGGTGTTCGAGGGTGAGCGTTCGATGACGCGCGACAACAACCTGCTGGGCAAGTTCAACCTGGACGGCATTCCGCCCATGCCCCGTGGTGTTCCCCAGATCGATGTGACGTTCGACATCGACGCTAACGGCATCCTGAACGTGTCGGCCGTGGAGAAGTCGACGGGCAAGGAGAACAAGATCACGATCACGAACGACAAGGGTCGTCTGTCCCAGGCTGACATTGACCGTATGGTTGCTGAGGCCGAGAAGTACAAGTCGGAGGATGAGGCCAACAAGGTCCGCATCGAGGCGAAGAACGCGCTGGAGAACTACGCTTACAACCTGCGTAACACTCTGAACGACGAGAAACTCAAGGACCAGATCTCGGAGGATGACAAGAAGGCCATCGATGACAAGGTGACCGAGACCATCAACTGGCTCGACGCCAACCAGTCGGCTGAGAAGGAGGAGTACGAGGGCAAGCAGAAGGAGCTTGAGGGCGTTGCCAACCCGATCCTGCAGAAGATGTACGCTGCTGCTGGCGGTGCCCCTGGCGCTGAGGGTGGCATGCCCGGTGGTATGCCCGGCGGCATGCCTGGTGCTGGCGCCCCGCCTGCTGGCGCTCCCGACCAGGGCCCCAAGATTGAGGAGGTCGACTAAGCAGTCGGAGACGGAGTCAAATGTCTCGCGCCGCGGTAGCGTCAGCGTGGATTGCACGCGCTACGGGCGTACAGTGCTTTGACCGCGATCTCTGTATTTGCTTTCTAGTCGGTTGGTCTAAGTAGTTGGTAGCTTTTGTAGAGAAGCAAGCAGCTGGAGTTGAATGGCTCCTTCAAAGATGCACAAGCTGCACGAAATAAAGTCAACAGGAGAGCCCCTCATTTCTTAACTTATTTTTTTTCAATTGTTTTTTTTTATTAAAATGATGACCGGGGAAACTGCATGCGAAGCTGGTAGAATCTTTTTACGAAAAGTTGTCGCCTAGCCAAGGCGCTAATAGTCGCAGATTAGCTAGAGCAATGGTCATTGAGGGTTTTCGCTGGCGTCGATACTCCAGAATCATCTTGAAGCTTCCTTTCCAAAGCGTACGTTGGATGAATTCGAGCGTATACTCGGAGCCCACCACTTTGCCCTGGCATAGAATCGTGATTTCATCGGGTTTCGCAACCTTCAGCTTCTTGGTCAAATACTTGCGGAGGTATCTTATCTGCTAGAAAAAAAGGTTGTTGACAAACAAGCCTTGGTAAAAAGTTGTTGCCGTGCGCACCTGGAGATGAGACTGCGTGAGCATGTTTGGAGCTTTCAACTTGCCCAGCGATAGGAAGTACGGGATATCAGGACTGTAAAAACATACCAACACGTTAAAGGCAGCGCAGTGATAAATTGATATCTTTCAGGAATAAACCTGCGCTGAGGGTAAAGCCCAAACTGAATCATGCTGTCGGGGGACGGACCACGGGTGCGGGGTGGGCTGGGCTGAGTTTCGATCAAAGTACCGAGCGGCTTGCGTTCAACGCCTAATTTCCGGTAAAACAACCGCTCTGCATGTCAACAGCCCAAACAGGACAAAGAGTGTTGAAAATATCTGACAGCAATACACAAAATTCAGCAGTGGCAGCACCTTCAGCTTCTTCCTTCGCAGTGTAGTCCGGCAAGAGCTTCGTCGCCAGCTCTTTATTTACCGGATCAGGGCTGTATCGTTATAAACCAAATTAGCCGTAGTTAGCAGTTTGAGAAGCAGCGTGTTACGTACAGGATTTTGGTTAACGGCTTCGCACTGAGGTACATATCGCACGTTGGACAGGAAGACGACGTGGGGTTGTCCAGATAGTACCCTCGTACACAGCCGTAGCAGAACATCAGCACCAACAGCATTCCTTTAGCCCACAGAGTCGCTTCAGATTTTTAGTTTGCCGTACACGTGTCCAGGCATTCGTTGGATGTGTAGGGATCTCGAAAATAGCCTTTGCACAGCTTGCAGATGAAGAACTCGTTGATACTTGCCAAGCGCAGCATTTTCTACTTGCCCAAGATAGTTAGATTTCGCGAAAAGCTATCAAGAGCGCCCGAGATTCCATACCTTTGATGCTTTCAACCGAGAACGTACTGTTCGCGCCTTTCAAGTGGATTCGAGAATGCGAGAACGCGGCAATCTCCACGAACGGATAGATATGAAGATATAGAATACTACATCAACTGCGACAGGACCTCAACTGGCGAATGTTCAGTAGGAAAATTAATTCTGTCCTCGCTCAAGCTCCAGCCCCCACTCAACACGAAAGTCACATTCTCGACGTTTTCAATATTCTTGATTGCTTCGACTCGGTTTCAGATTGAAGTACGTGAAAGTGTGAAGACTGTACTTGTAGTAAGACAGACACCCTATTATTTGCTACTTGGGTACAAGTGGCTTGGTTTAGTTCTGCACCTCTGGCGGTGCGCTTTTCTCTCACTTGAAATGCTGAAGTTTCAAAGAAGAACGAAGAAAGCGACTGCGATCTACGAGGCAATTAACTGGCGTCGGTACTCCAGGACCATCTTGGAGCTCTCTTTCCAGCGCGTGCGTCGGATGAACTCGAGCGAGTACTCTGGACCCACCACGGTGCCCTTGCATAGAATCTCAATTTCCTCGGGTTTCGCTACCTTCAGCTTCTTGGCCAGGTACTTTCGGAGATACATTATCTGAGTGGTGTAAAAGAATAACCAGCTAATGTCAGTCTTTCACAAACCTTAGCAGGAAAGAAACATTTTACCAAGCGCACCTTGAGAAGAGATTGAGTGTACATGTAAGGAGCGTCCAGCTTGTCCAGCGAAAGGAAAAGAGGGACGTCGGGACTGCAACACAAAACCAGCGACAGCTTGAGAATACCAAACTCACTGATTGTTTGATAATAGATAGTGACAAACCCGCGCTGAGGATAAAGCTCAAACCGGATCATGTTGCCAGGAGACGGGCCGAGGGAGCGATGGATCTTTGGAGGACTGGGCTGAGTATCGCTCGGAGTATCGGACTGCTTGCGTTTGATGCCGAACTTCTTGTAATACGTCCGTTCTGCATGTCGCCAAACAAACAAGATCGTTGGAATATTCCTGACTGCAACAAATTCAACACCAGACGTGAACGCACCTTCTGCTTCTTCCTTCACAGTGTAGTCCGGCAAGAGCTTCGTCGCTAATTCTTTCATTGCCGGATCAGGACTATATCATCAGAAAATCAAATATACATGTTACCAATTGGAGTTAGCAACATGAGGAACGTCTTGTACGCACAGGATCTTGGCCAACGGCTTGGCACCGAGGTTCACATTGCACGTTGGACAGGACGATGACTTGGGGTGGTACAGGTAGTATCCTCGGATGCAGCCGTAGCAGACTGTATCAACACCAACAATGCTCCAATTTAACACCCATAATATACTTTCACATACTTCTGAACGTACAGGTGTGAAGACATTCTTTGGACGTGTAGGG